GTAAATGAAATGTACAACAAATTTTTAAAAATCTATCAATCTCTCTATGAAGAAAGCTTCCCTAAGAAAAAAGTATACTGTGACAAACAAGGCTCACTATATCAAGTAAACCCTGAAATTAACAAAATGTCAAAGGAAAACATTAACTGTCATAGGCTACTTAAAACTTCCACTGACCCTCATATCATTGAACAATGTAAAAATTATAGAAGACACTACAAGTCGGAAGTTGCAAAAATGAAAAGAGAGCTAAATGCAGACCTGATTGCAAAATCAACAAACAAATCTAAAACTATGTGGACAATTATAAACAAAGAAACAGGTCGGGAAAGGAAGAGTCATAGCAACATTGAAATTATAGAGGGAGAACAAGTTCTTAAAAACCCCACTGAGGTTGCAAACTCCTTTAATTCTTATTTCATAAATTCTGTTCAAGCACTGGTGTCAACTCCAGATGGCAGTGCAGAGAAAAATGTAAATAGTACATGTAGTTCAATAGCCTTCACACCACTAACAGAAAATGAAGTCCACAATATCATAAGAAGAATGAAAAATAAAACATCCACTGGGGTTGATGGCATTCCTAGCACAGTTGTCAAGCAAACTGCTGCACAAATTATAAAGCCTTTAACCTTCATCTTAAATGCATCTATAGAAGAGGGAGTATTCCAACAAAACCTAAAAATAGCAAAGGTCTGCCCTATATTCAAAAACAATGGTGCAAAAAAAGAAAAGACAAACTATAGGCACATATCTATCCGATCACCATTCTCAAAAATTTTTGAAACTGCTATCTGTGATAAAATTAGATCATTCATGGAAACCAAAGGCCTCCTATCATCAAAACAGTACGGATTTAGAAAAGACAAATCAACAATCAAGGCATTAACAGACTACGTAACTCAGATCAAAAATAACTTTGACAATAGAGATTTTACCTCTACAATATTTTATGATTTTACTAAGGCGTTTGATTTGGTTAATCACAACATTCTTTTAAAAAAACTTGAAAGATATGGGATACGTGGACAACCATTAAATTGGATAGAGTCATATCTTACAGCAAGAAAGCAATGTGTTGAAATTATTTTCATGAATGAGAAAACTGGTGAACTCAGCAGATATCTCTCTGAACTTCTGGACTTACTAGTTGGAGTCCCACAAGGATCTATAATGGGACCTCTGCTCTTCATTATCTATATAAATGATCTTCCACCTAGCATCCTAACTGGTGATGCTTCAATGTTCGCAGATGATACCAAAGTCCACCTTTACAACAAAATACCTCACACTCTGCAAACCCAATGTAATCAATCTGTTAAGCAAATGGAAGACTGGTGTCAAAAAAACAACATGCTAATTAATGTAAAAAAAACTAATATTGTACACTTCCAAACCAACACCCTTATGGATCCTAATATAAGTGTATATGCCTCAAGAGGTAAAATTGAACCAGTAAAAAGTGTAAAATTTCTTGGTGTGATGCTGGACTTAAACCTGAAATGGAGTGAACACATCAACTACCTCCAAAGCAAACTGTCT